AATCCTTGGACTACTCTTGGCTCCAAAAGTGAGTTTTGTGAAAAAGTAGTAGGCTTCTTGCCACTTAACTCCATGCAGGTGCCATAACGAGGTGTGTATAGGTAACAGTTTAAAAGCATTGACTATATCCGTCTTGCTAAGCCAGGCCCCCACCCCTGTTGACCTGATAGCTGCAATAGCGAGGTCAATAGTGGAGTACTGTAAGGAAAACTATTCCGAAGGAATCAATGAGTTTGGGCTGGGGATGGCTGAAGAGTGGGGTGCGGATAGGTCAATGATGAGCCTTTGTTTATCTGAATTTTTACTTGCGACCAGCCCGATAGGGTTAGTTCTCCAGCTGGAAAAGGGGGATTACCAAAAGGACCGATGACAAATCCCTGGTCCACTTCCAATTGTAGCAAGTTAGTGACTGCAGCAGGGTTATTAGAGGCTGACTGCAAATTGTGACATTCTAACACCCCTGTTGGCATGTAAATGAGCCCCGTGTGAAACCCGTGGGTGAGACCTGTGCATAAAAATTCCACCAGGTGTTTAGAGGGGTGAGTGGACAGCATGTGTTCAAGTACAGGAACGTTCACTGGAGACAAATAAGGTTTCTGGAACATTTTATTTGTGCACATGGATTTCGCATGTGCCCGAAAACAGTGTGAGCACACGTGTAATAAGCGGCAAGCGCTGTAACCACAGGAGCCTTCATTGAAGTTATTGCAAATTTGTGACTTGCCTAGGTACACTACCGGACGACCCAATTTGTCTCTGGTCTGTTTCTCAGCTTTAAGGGGGTGCTGTAGGGACGTGCTGGGAGCGCTGTCCGGGCAGAGGGGGCACAAATAAGCTGTGTGAGCGGGTGATGTACATATGGCACAAGCTGGTGTCCTGAGCCCCGCAAAGTGTCTGAGGAACAATTCATTGTCCAGTTGGCTCCAATCCATCTGGATGCCATACTGGGACAATGTGGCTGACACTTTAGATGAAAAAGACTTGTGATAGTCATAAAAAGTGTAACCACCATATTTGTTACCCAGGTCCACCAGCTTATGCATATATAAGTCCAGTTCCTCTCTCCTATGCGGATGAACTGAGCACAGGATATCCCTAAAGATACCAAAAGACAGGACAAAATCGGGAATGGTCAATTTCTTACCGAGTCTGGGGTCTCTGGCTTTTAAAACAACAGAGATGTCCCCGTAGTCGTAAGAGCGGTTTTCCACTACATCCTGGGAGGCAATGAGCAAAGAGACCAAGTTTACGTCCTTGCCCTCCAGGATGTCTTTTTTAAGATTGGCCGGAACCATGTGGGCAGGGTTAATAACTTGTGCCGCTGTCTTGTTAGGTATAGGATTACCCGCTATCGCTGTGGGTATGACCGGGGCTGCTTCAGCGAGAGGCACAGGTGGCTCTATGGTGGAGCTGCGTGCTTCCAGCCTTTCCAGTCTGTCGTTGACCTTTCCCATAGAAGAAATTAGGGAGGCAACCATAGCATGGAGAGTCGGGTCTTGGGAGCTACTAGTGCCTTCCCCCGCGTCCGTCATAAGGGTGTTTGTTCTAAGCAGTTTGAACAGTTCTGCTTTCCTGGCCGTGGCCGGGAAAGGGATACTGCGTTTGCGTAATTCCGCCGTGATGCGAGGGATAGTCCACGATCTGATGGACGAGGGACTTCCTATGTCGTCCTTATGTGTCGGGGTAAGTGACCTAGCCGGGGTGCTAGGGACTGACATATCCTCACCATCGTCTGGGAGCAGGGACATACTGAAAGTAATAATAGGCATAGTTGGTGGCTCGTTGGAATAGCCGGTAGCTAGCTAGTGCCAAAACTTAAATCTAGGTTTTGTGGCAGGTGAGGCCCTGCTAGTACCAAGTGGCTAGAGAGGCTCTATCTATGAGTTGGCGCGAGGGGTATGGTAGCCTGCCCAGTGAAACGGGATGTTGCCTCTCCAAGGGTAAGTAGGGAGGAAGGGGGGGTTTGGTAGTGACAGGTGTCGCCCTCTCTATATAATTGCGAGGCGGCTAACTATGATTTGGCCCGAGGGGCGTAAAGTACCTCGAAGTGGAGGATGGGAGTTGGCCTCGTGGACCTCTATGATTAAGGGGCAGGGAATTAACTAACGTGGCGTTTGTAGAAAAAGAAGCGTGTAACCGACGTACCTGCAGAAAATTGAGCACCGGTTCTGTGTAAGAGAATTCAGGTGTCTCTTGAGTAGGGGGGGGGGGGTTAGCTTAGGTGAACCGTCCAAGGTATGCGGATTCCTGGGGGTATGAGAATTTAAGATAATGTACTCTTATGTGGAACATATATAAAATTGGCATAGTAAGAGTTCTGGGGGGGGGTTGCCGTGAAATACCGTCCCCCTCCCCCCCCAATGTACATAATGCTTGTTAAGATTTAACGTTACTATTATACTTGCAGAACATTCTTAACATATGTTAACCAGTAATAAGTAACCATATATGGCATGTATCACATTTAACAAGCAAGTCATACACTATATACAGGGTCATCATCAGGGCATGACAATCGCGAACGGTTGTCATGGCCCGGGCGGTCCTGACATACAGAAGAAAATTTGAGGGAAGGGGGAGAGGAAGGAAATGAGAGGGAGGGGGGAGAAGGAAATGAGAGGGAGGGGGGGAGAAGGAAATGAGAGGGAGGGGAGAAGAAGGAAATTGAGGGGGGGAGAAGGAAATTGGAGAGAGGGAGGGAGGGGGAGAAGAAGGAAAATGGAGGACGGACTGGGGGGCCAGGGGGCCCAGACCTTGAGCTGTGTCAGGGGCCCCAACATTTCTGATGGCAGCCCTGACTATATATAATAAAAAAAAGAATGTGTGAAGTTAATTTAACCAGCATCTTATTTAGCAGTATATGTGTAAAACACAGATGGTATATATATAACAGTACTTAATGTAATTTCCTATTAATTCAACATATAAATAAACCATTGTAAAACATTATTGACCGAAGGGCTTGCCTATTTATGCATAACAAGTGGTGGTGGCTGGCTGAACTAAGGGTCAACCAGCAGCAAAGAATGACCCCTTTAAGCAAGGTGCCCCCCTCCTCCCCAAATGTGTGGTCGGTGGGAACAGGGTCCCCTAACGTTATAGGGGTCTGGTTGTGGCCTGTCCCTGTTCCGGCAGTAAGACCAATACCCCTCTCCCCCTTCCACCCCCCCACCCCCTCCCCTCCCCTATGAGCGAGATTCCCCCGGCGGCCGGAAAACAGAGACTCCTAAGAGGTAATGGAGTCTCTGTTCTGTGTGCCCGTGTGGGAGCTCAGCTTACCGCCCGGACCAGGGTAGGCGAGGAGGGTTGAAAAACCGCCGTTCGGGAGCCGGTGGAGCAGCCGGAAGTCGACGCGTGACGTCAGAGGAGGGCGCCGCGTCTCGCCGGAAGTGACGAATTGAACCAGGAAGTCGGGAGCGACGGAGGCCTGCGAGTAACAAGGCTGTTCGTCTAGACCAATGAAGGTAAGTGAGGAAAGGGGGGAGTCCCTTTAAATAGGTCTATAGCCCCTCCCACAACTTCAGGCCCTGCCTTCCAACATATATATATATATAGGTAGCTAAAGGTAGCCTTTTAATTCTGCACACAGAGGGGAAGCAGGAAAGAGTCCCTGCTTCCCCAACTACCACACACCAGGGACTGAATCCACTCCTCCTCCAGCCCAAGCTGACTGTAAGTGAGAGAGTGTGCTGTGTGTAACTGTGATTGTGACTGTCTTTATGTGTAACATTGAATGTGGATCCATGGGCACCTGCACTCTGGCCTATGTCTGCTGCTTGCTTTAATGCCTCCTCATTAGCGATGGGTGGTAATAATTATCGGCTGACGGCTTTCAGCCTATTACAGCTGCTCACAGATAGTAACATTTTAGAATGAGTGCTGAGCCCATTGAGTCTCTTTGGGAAGAAAGTAAACTACAATACTGTGCTACTTTGGGAGCATTTGCAATTCCTCTATAGAGTTTCATGTGGAATCAATTACGTTGATTGGTGCAAAGAGTATGAGTCTTTTGGGAAAATATTAGCTTTTCATTTTTGTTTAACAAATGCAAAAAGAAATGTATCCCGTGCTCGCACAGGTTTGGTAGGGAAAGGGTTCAATGCTAATTGAGACACTTACATAATCATCTTTAGATTAATGTAATTTTGGCATATATATCGATTTATTTTTAACTGTTTGATACCAAAGTTAATAAGACCGTTTATATATATCTCTTTTGATATGATGACTATTAATTGTGTGTCTTCACGTGTTTACATTTTATGTAGCATAAGATTATCAATAACCTTGATTTGTTACCTTTGTATATAATTATTATATTATGTCATTTATACATAATATATATTTGACATGTATTATGTATGATTATTTAAAGTTGCTATGTTTTTATCTATTCTGTGTATAATTTTATTTTTCCATTATATAGCTTTTTAGTATTGTGATTTGAATAATCTTTCTATTTGAGTCACCCTTCTATTTATCAAAATAAGTGTTGGTGAAATACCTTTTCCTATAATCCTTTATATGTTTTACGTTAATTAGGTTTTAATTAGGTATTTAACATTATAATAAATAATGGGGGGGAGTGGAGTACTAATTCAAATTTATAATATTTTTGTATAATATTGATATGTCTATATTAAGTCTATATTTATCAATGATAATAAAACAATTCTAATATATATATATATATATATATATATATATTCACCAAAATTCACCACGCATGTTAGAATCTTATTGAAAAAACTGGGTTACAACCCGGCTTCGTTCTCCGGGCGCTCCTTCCGCATAGGAGCCGCTTCATCAGCCTCTACTACAAACACCCCGGTCCATATCATCAAGAGACTGGCTCGTTGGAAATCCTCCATATACAATACATTCATTCCACGACCGGAAAGAGAGCTCCGCCAAGCCTTTAGGAATTTAGTTATGTAATAAATGCAATAAAGTATGTTTTTCTGAACTTCTCTTTGCCCTCTTTTATTTACAGGCCCACTCAGACGTTGGTTTCGGCACACCACAACCAACTTTCATCTCAGACACTATCCATTACATATTAAATTCCGAGCACAAGTAGAAAGGCCATTAGGCCTGAATTTGTGGGAGTCCCCTACTTAAACTCCCAACCCCTACTCACCTCTGACGTTCAAGTTCAAGTGTTCCCTACCCACCAGCACCCTTAGAACAAACAATTCTCCTTGGTTGGCCCTCTTTTATTTACAAGCCCACTCGGACATTGGTTTCGGCACACCACAACCAACTTTCATCTCGGACACTATCCATTACATATTAAATTCCGAGCACAAATATATATATATATATATATATGTAAAACTAATAAAACAAGTTTGTACAACAAATAATTTACAGTTTGAATATTCTAAATTATAAACGTTAACGTTAACCTTGTTTGCCCAGTCAATACAGAAATAGTGAAGCTGATCCCAGAATAAAGATGGCTGTCTAATAGTCTAATAATATCCTTACCTTTTGTGTCATTTTACTCCACTTCCTCTAGCATGTAAGCTCATTGAGCAGGGCCCTCAACCCCTCTGTTCCTGTGTGTCCAACTTGTCTGGTTACAACTACATGTCTGTTTGTCCACCCATTGTAAAGCGCTGCGGAATTTGATGGCGCTATATAAATATCATAATAATAATAATAATAATAGGCTGTCATATGTTTTATGTCTCACTGTATTTTAAAGGACCACAAGTTGTTATGGTGCATGGAGGTCCAAGGCTTATTTCCAAAGTTTTCAAGCAAGCTCTTCGCCTTAGCTTCTGCCCATTGGAAATCGAGAGTGAAAAGGAAATAGAAGGTTACTCATATGCTGTGAGTTCCCAGTCTGAAAATTCCTGATTGAAGTCTCAATCACTGAGTGGAAGTTAAAGGGCAGAGCGATCAGGAGTCAGCTTAAAGAATTTAGGATTGAAACACTTATTAATGGTTTGCCAACTTTCAATGAAGTTGTTATGGTACCTGTAGTGTCCTTTTTAAGATGAAGACATTGTCATAGTCATAGCAATATATAGAAGTAAGGGGGTTCATTTCTTGGTCAACTAATTATATTAAGATCACTTTTGTGCATTATTTAGGCATAACATCAATAGGACTACGTATTTATTTATTTATAGACCAGTAAAGATTTTATGTGCTAATACGGAAAAGAAACACTTTAAAATATCTTCTTGTGAGTCATTAAAAATAACTATTTAAAAATGCTTTTAATATATTATTATATCGCTATTAAATTTTAATTCATTTATATTAAAAGTGCCTGGACTGAATTGTGAAAATTGCATTTACTAATATCCCTACGAAACATGTAATACTTATAGATTATATTACATTCCCTATTTTATAGCACTGCAGATTATGTCAGTACTCTAGCAATAAAAATTTCAATAATAATTATAATTTTAATAATCTAATAATAATGTGGATCAGTGAAATGTTTTCTAGCTCAACGTAACAACGAAAGACAGATAAACAAAATAGATGACTAAATTCAAAATGTAATGTATGAAGAAACAACTACATCAATAAATAGCAGGTGATAACTTGCAAACGGTGACAATGTAAAAATGTCATTGCAAAGCATTCAGTGCTGCCATCAGTACAGTAAGCATTTATCAGTCACACACAAAAATGTACTGGCCTCTTATAATGCTCCTATTGTGTAGAAAACTATTAATGTACAATTCCACTTATAGGAAAGTAACCTTCACTTGAACTGACGGCTTTATTCGTGTAAACTCAAACAAAGAGAGCTATTGCGAAGTCTCCTTGAAAACTGAGCTACAAAATTATTCATAATACCTTTTGTCATATTTATAGTTAACCTGTTATTTTTTTACCTTTTTTAATACAGCAAAATAAGTTAGCAAACATAGCAAATTAATTGTTTAACCCCTTAACGACACAACTTCTGGAATAAAAGGGAATCATGACGGAATATTTCCGTCATGTGTCCTTAAGGGGTTAATTGACGCTTCAAACTCTTACAGTGTATAAAAAGATTGTATAATCAGTGTTTTATGCATTTTATGGTAATTTTTCTACCCAAATAAAGCGCGGATGTTTTCATAAACACTAATAACTAATAACTAGTAACAGCTTCTATAAAGTCGCAAGTCACAACTACATATTAGGCTGCATGGTGAAAAAATGTGGTTCTGTCGGATCAATTCATCTGAAAAATAATTTGTTTGGGTGGGCTGAAGTTTATCACGTGGCGTTTTAGTTCAGGTGCAATCATACTATTTGTTTGGGAAAAACAATTAGGACGAATCAAAAGGATGAGAAAGTGGGCCAATTGGTGTATCGAAATTTATATACATAAAGGACGAGAAGTAAAAAAAAAAATATATATATATGTTTATTGATATATTTATTACATAGATCATATAGAAATATAGTTTTTTTACTGCTCATATTTTTTTTCCATCTTTTGATCATTTCTAATTTGACCTGTGAATAAAATCATAATTTAGGGGCTTTTCTCGAACGATCAGTCACCTTTTTTCCCATTAATCATTTCTTGCTTTGCTGCCACAACCAGGACTCAGCATTACGAAACATACAAAACTGTTTGTCCACTGACCTATTCATGCTTCTTGTGATACATCCATGTGGTGCTTTGGAAATACGGAATTCGGATAACCCGACAATCATCCATAATACAAATTAATCACAATTAATTTTAAAAAGAATGTGCAGGCCTATTACATAGGAAATTGAGTATGAGAGCTCACTGGTTGTATGTTCTGTGCATTATTCTTAGCTCTTATCATTCCTAAGAACATACTCAGACTTCACAAAATACCAATTGTTATGACCATTTGTATCCCATCTAATCTATTTCTGATTGACATTGAAAGCGCTTTCTCCTTTCTCTTAAGTTATCTGATGTGATGTCAACTGCTGGTGTGGCCAAGAAAAGAATTAGAAATAAGTTGCACAAAGTACTTATTTGCTAAGTAATTACATACTTATTGATTTCGTGTTTAGTAACTATTTTCTTGTGTGTGCTATTTTGGCCCAAAGGCAACATGGGACCAGTAAATCTGTCTGTCGAAACTGCAAGTGTAAAGTCTTAAATGGGCAGGTCTCCAATCTAAGTCTACAAATTCACAAGCACCTGGAAAAAGCCTACATATGAGTATTGCTGTGCTTTGGGGAAGTAGTAGAATACAAATATGGGGTCTTTGCACTTGTAGAACATTGTGAGACTGAAATTCCATCACATAAAGCTATCTATATATGAAAAACAATATTGCCATTGACTTTGTTGGCATTTGGTGGCCATGGTCATAAAATAAGTTGAAATGACCGATGAGATTTAGTCCAGTTTGTCCAATTTTACAAATGTTATGCCATGTGTACAAAAAACACAAAAATAAACTATAAAACAAAAATGCCATATGCCCCTAGTTAAAAACCCTGGGTGGGTCTACTTTCTGCAAATTTATACTTGTATGTAGTGGTTTTGCATTCTGTGACTATTGAAGTTGTAATCTCAGCAGACCAAATTTTGCAAAGGTTTAGCTTTAAAAATGTCATTTAATTTAGTTCTTGCAATGTCAGATTTCTTGACATCCTAGACATATTGGGCATTTTAACAATCAGAGCTAAGATGCAAATCTGGTTTGCGTTTTCTTTCATTGCACTAGTTGTGTTGAGGTTTGTAGTGGATCCCATGAGAACATGGGAACCTCCATAGAGAAAGCCATTTTCTTCTCAGCCATCACTATTAACGGCTGGGGGAGATTACCTTTTGCTAAGTGTAGAAATACTAAGACAAAGTAGCCCCTACTTTGTCTCAGGATATCTTTTAAGTTCATTAGAATTTCAGTGAATGTGAGTGTTTTCAGAAAGATTTTACATTAAACAAATACCCATTTTGGGTGTCCGGTGACAGTGTTGCTTTAATGTTGTATAAACATATGAAGTTACCTTATACATATGGGGTGTCATTAGAAAGCCCAATCTATCATTTAAAGAAACAATATATAAGGTATATTGGTGCACTTAAAGAGAGAGTTTTACATTACTATGCAATAAAAACATAACAAAGGTGCAAAAAGGGTGCCAGTCACGAACACACAGCATATCAGAAAACCATCCATCACAAAGGATTTCATTAATTTACAGGTGATGTTAAGAATGGTTAATGGACTTTTCCTTGAAGCGCCCCTTGAAGGTAAAATGCTAGAATAAAGTAATTCCATAACCCTGACTGTAAATAATTTATAGATACACAAAAGAGATTGTCTCTAGCAATAAAGAATTAACTATATATTTGAGATTTGACCCTCAGAGAAGAATTAGACGTTATTTTTTTGATAAATGTAGCAGAGCTTTGTGACTAGTAAGACCAAGTGAAGATGCGGAAAGTAAATGAGATAGAGGTGAGTTTTTTTTTGGTTAGTGTGTGGAGGGGAATTAATTTATTGAATAATCCGAGCTAATGAGATGAGTAGAGTGGACAATTACAGTGAGTGCACACTTGAACTCTAAAACAGTGGACAAGGAGATGGGTCACTCCTATGATGTCATGCCAGTCCTGGTCTGTAATTTGTCATGAAGGGGTTATGAGAAGAAGATTGTGGCCCCCATCAGAAGCACTGTGTGCTACACAACAAAACAGATCCCTTTTGAAAAGGGTAAAACGTGGTTAAGAATCAAGTCCAGGCCAGGATTGACAATTAAGAAGTAAGTGTAATTCATGTAGTAAGGCTATTATAAGGTATTATATTACATTCCGGATAATATAGGTCATAATATCAGACATGTGCAATTTGTTTCGTTCCGAATGTAAATTACTACGAATTTCATTCCATTCGGACATTTGGATGCTTACGAATGTCTGAGGTTCCAAAACGCCGAAGTTCCGTAGTGACGAATTTCGGTAGTTCGGAAGTGTTAAGAACCTCAGTGGTTATGGTACTGAGTTCTTCTATTCCTTTCCCAATAGCTGAGCATAAGTGATTATAGCTACAGTTAGGGTGTAGAGGAATAGTAGAGTTGAATGCAGATTCCAAGACAAACCTTCATAGCAATTAAAAGGTTACCCAAGCATGAGCCTAGACTTCATGAAGGGTACAACAGGAATAATGTTTTATTGATGCCACACTGGCTTTTATGGAAATCCTCCTGCAAGAGGACCTCCCACAGTAAACAAAAGTGAGAGCCAATCAT